TGTTGGAGCGGGTCGCTCCTTAAATAGATGCATATATTAGTTAATAACTAAATGGAATCCTCTCTTTCTTTTTCCCAGTAAGAGACGCCTACGGAAGCCAACAGTACATAGACAGATAAAGCCCATAGGCTATAGTTATTAACTAATATATGCATTTATTTAAGGCACCAATTTATAATTGTAACAAATAGTATTTGAATAAAAACATTCAATCGGGTAAAACACGGGCGTTAATGATCCAACAGGTCCACGTGTCTAAATTAAAACACGGGCGTTGCCCGGGTCATTCGGCTAGTATATATATAAACTTGCCTGTCTGTCTGTCAATATTGGCAGAATACACTGTGTTCTTAAATAATCTAGTTCTGTAATATGGTTTGTTAAAAGGAATATGTAGGTTTGTAAACATATCCAGAAATATATATATAGAGCAGGATGAGTAAAATAATAGCTGTGGCAGGCAGTATGGTGGATTAGGAAGGTTATTTACTGAGATGTACCAGACCCATCTTTCCAGTAATTGTACAAGTATTGTATAAGTTTGAGGAGTAAAAAGTAATGGCAAAATGAATATCCTCCTAATATAGAGATCTGTTGATGGAAGAATGTCAGCCCCATTGGATGACACAGTGAATGTAGACCCTTCACATCACTTGGGCCACTTCCTGCTTAAACCAATTCTATTGCCGCCAACTTTGTGACGACTTAGGCTATTGTGAAAGGAAGTTTTCCAGCCAAAGATACCTGAGAGTAGACTACACCTTGGGGGGGTTTGACCAGAAATAATTTCAACAGTTAATTATTTTTTTGTATATAAAATGAAACTTGATAATTATCCCCTGGGGTAACTAGGCACATAGTTGAGAACTTATGAAGAAAAGTAGCTTCTTTTCTATTGTCATGGTACTGGCTTGCCATGATATAACACCCAACAGTTTCCTTTATTTCGATAGGTAGTCCTTCCAAACTTGTTGGAGAGTAGAGCAGAGGATCAAAATGAATTACATGCCAGAACTCACTAGATTAAGTGATCTTTGATAGAACTGAGGAGTCAGAACTCTCTTCTGTCTCATTTTTTACCTCCTTAAGTTGGTTCTGTTGAAATGACCCTAATGACTTCCAAAGTGTGGTCAGTGATTCACAACAGCCTCCAAATATTTCAACCTTTTAAAAATATAAATGTGGGATAGATGTTCTACAGCAATATCTTTCCTAACTTGTTTGGTGGCCAAAATTAAGTGAACAAGCACTTTTTTCAAAGCAACTCTGAATTAATTAAAGCTATAAACAACAAAATTGGCAAACACGTAAAATTATTTGATATTCCCTCTTTACACTTTTGTGATTTATTAAATTTGGAAATGTGAAAATTTGTAGACATTCTTGAAAAACACTCACTCTGTTAGCAGATCATAACTGTTATTTTTAAAATCTCATACATTTTGAAAGAAATCTAGCATAATACTTTCTGTCCCAGAGGCTTCCTGAGAAATCAAGAAATGGGTATTTAAGGCCAAGTTTGCGTAAATATGCTTTTCATGTGAAAAAATAATAAAAAATAAAAATATAAAAAAAGGTCAGATGTTGATAATAAAAACAAAAAAGGCATATCCTGACTGAGTTCACATGAACATCTCTAGATGGCAGAGTGCCATCTAGTGGAACAAAAATAAACAAAACATTTATTTAACTTGTTCTGTGATATTTGGCCAACCCAATTTCTTTATAAATCAAGAAAAGTCAACCACGAACGTGTTTCAGGCTATTGGCCCTCGTGGTGCAGACTGTACCTCTACAACAAAAATTTGGTCCCAGAGGCTTCCTGAGAAATCATGTGAACATGGTCAGGATATGCCTTTTTTGTTTTAATATCAACACCTGACCTTTTTATATTTTAATTTTTTATTAGTTTTTTTTCAGAAGAAAAGCATTATTTACGCAAACTTGGCCTTAAATGCCCATTTCTTGATTTCTCAGGAAGCCTCTGGGACCAAATTTTGGTCATAGAGGTACAGTCTGCACCACGCTGACGAGGGCCAACAGTCCTAAACGCGTTCGTGGTTGACTTTTCTTGATTTATAAAGAAATTGGGTTGGCCAAATATCACAGAACAAGTTAAATAAATGTTTTGTTTATTTTTGTTCCACTAGATGGTGCTCTGCCTTCTAGAGATGCTCATGTGAACTTGGTCAGGATATGCCTTTTTTGTTTTTATTATCAACACCTGACCTTTTTAATATTTTTTTATTTTTTAATTATTTTTTCACATAATTGTTTATTCGATCCGATGCCATCAGTCCTGGACCCAGTATAGGTGGGCACATGTTCTCTTCAGTGAGAAGTCAAGATACAGTCTAGCACTGATTCTCAATCAGTATCAGGAGAGAACACACTTCCATCCCACTGACATCAGTTAAAGAGACTATTTTGGGGGAGGGGAGGTCTGGTCTGGCTTTACAGGTGTATCCCTCTCCATGTGTTTAAGGCATGCTGATTGTTCTAAGATATAGGAATGAGATTTTTGCATCCTATGCAAGCTCTTTCAAGGATGTCATTGGCCCCTAGTTTATTTCATCAATGATATAATGCTTGTCCACATAGAAGGTAGTGCTTGTCAATGGTTTCCTGAAGATATTCGGAGGACATATCTTCAGATAATAGAACATATCCTTAGGGAGATGCATTGGAACGTGTTAGCCTCTTCCCAGACCCCCCTAAATTCTGCTCTTTAGGAGGAATGGAATTTATTGCCTAAAAACCTCTTCAGTAGGGAAGCCCATTGGGAGAGTTTTACAGATGGTAGAGATATTCCTCTAATGACCCCTTTTTCTGACTCATTTTTGTATTTAAAACATTTCACCTATATATTGTCACGATGATGCCTGAAAGAAAGCTTCGGTATCACCATGATGGCAAGCAGGGTCAGTTTGACCAATTGTATCACCCCAAGAATAGCTATGGGGGGATGGACCAATCAGGAAGGAAGATGCTGATCTGGTCAGCAGTGAAGTCATTCTCCCTGTTGTTGATGGAGGCTGTTGGATCATGCTCTCTGCATGTTACTTGCTTTGTTCTTCAAAATGCATGAAGGTAAATAAAGAAAAGTAATGCAGAGATCCTTACCGATCCTATGTGCTTATTTGGCTTCCTTGACACAGCAGCTGAGCAACAGCATATATATATTTGAATCTATAGGGTTATCTTGTGGTTTCCCTCATGGATAAACTATTTGGGAACCAACTTTCATAGTTTTTACTAAAGTATTTACTTTGAAAAAATCTACATCTCACTTACTTTTGGACACCAGTGTAGGTGACAATGTGGGACACAATATTAAAGAGGTCTCAATAACCATTTCTAGCATATTTAGGAGCGGTGACATTGATTGATTGTAAACATTTTCAATGCAGGAATGAAATTTTTACAGCCAACATCTGTGAAGAATTTCTAACATTTTCCCAGTTTAGCTAGTAATTCTTTAAAATTAACTGTTTAGCATTCTTTATGGCCAAACTGAGATGTATATTTTCTTCTAATAAGACTTTAAAAACATTAAAATCTCTTGCTATTTTTTTGTGAAGGAAATACATTATTTTGCTCAGTAGGCTTTTGATAGGTAATTGGCTTCTTGAAGTGTTGACATTTTCTTTCACTCCATGTGACCTAGAATGGTATTGAGAGCTGAAATTGCTATTCCAGGTAAATAATTGGATGCCTTTGAGATCGTATAAACAATTACTATGTATTCCTGAGGATTGAAATAAAACAAATAAAATAGAAGCTACCAATTCAAAATGGTTACAGATATATAAAACATGGCATCAACTTCCACAGGGCAGTTAATGTCTCCACACCATACTTAGGTCAACTGGTCAATAGATACTCACCCCATCTGTCATGAACCTGCTGTAGATATCCTGGGCACAGTTGGGCCGGTGCTCATCCACCTGCAGCTCGTAGGTTTCCTGTACAAACAACAGTTAGCATGGTTTCCTAGTGGTTGGGAGTTCTACTCACGGCTGCATCCAGGAAGGAGGTGCACTTGCTGTAGGTTGGTATGGTCTCACAGAACTGCTTGAATAAGATTTTCCCAATGGGCTGTTGCTCCACTATATAGCTGTATTGGACATCTGCCACAGCAGAGTTGGACTTGTCTGCAAGGAAATATTGTCTAACAGTCTTATATATAGCAAACAAAATCCTTTCAAAATCACAGATGGGAATATCACAGATTTATCAGCAACCCCGTACAACAGACAAAATAGAGTCACTTTTATTTTTTATTCATCAAAAATAATTATTTAAAACTTTATATATTCCATAATATATATTTCAATGAAAAAAAAAATTGAATATATTATTCACAATACCAAAGATTTCAGAGAGATCTTTCCTAAAAGTTTCCAACCTCAACCTGGCATTGCTAAAAAAATTTCATAGAAATAAATTTACACTAGTTGATAACTTGGGGATCTGAACTTCGGTTGAATTAAGGTAAGTTGATGATTTCATCACAACTTTCATATCTAGTGGATATTTTTATATATGATATATAACCAAATATAAAGAGACAAAGGTAGCCTCTCCCGTCAAAATTTTGACGGGAGAGGCGACCTTTGTCTCTTTAAATCAATATCCTCCCGGCAAAATTTCCATCTATAACCAAATATATAATTCGAATAATAATTATAATAAATACTGTGGTAATATATTTTAATTAATAATGTGAATTGCGTGATATACCATTGGGACTTTTTAATACAGATTATTTCATGATCAACTTTTAATTATATATTTGAACACAATGGAAAAATTACAAATACTATTTTATTCTAAGTAAAACGATGCAATGGGAAGAAAATGAATGAATTTATAAAATAAAGGATATAGAATTTATTTTATTCTTTAAAGCACTGTAACTAGCGGCTGCTTAAATTAGGCCTAAATCGTCTTGTAAACAATTGCGCTCGAATATGTTGGTGCCTTTTGCATCGTAACACTTTTAAGTGTGGGAATCAAACCCACAGTGTTCCGCTTACCGGGCAGATGCCATGTCCACTAGGCTACCCTGGACATTAAGTGTGGTACACATGCACTAACTGTGGTCGTTGTGTCCCACATGCCAAAGTATGGCATTTTTAGCAATAAATTTGTTTTTTAGCAAGAATTATTTAATGTTGTCAAAATTTGGCTTTAAAATAGGTCAAATTAACGTTTGCTATTTGATAGGCTGGAGGCCGAGGCATAAAAATATGGTCATATTAGTGCAAGTGTTGAATTAACAAAGTTATACTTTATACATCATAGTATGTGAATGTTTTTATATACCTAATAATAATAATGGCTTTAATATGTTGATGTGTATATTGAAATATTTTGCTTAGATTTCATATATACAGTTAAACCTGTCTATAGCAGCGCCCCCTCTTGGGACTCACCAAAATAGGGTGCTATAGACAGGTCACTTTTAATGTAAATCACACCGTACTACGTATTTAAAATCTGGCGCTATAGAGAGAGAGGCGCTATTTAGATGGGGCGCTATAGGCAGGTTTAACTGTATATTTTATCTTTTTAATTCTGATATTTGTCAATTTAGAAATCATTTGGCTATGACAACTTTGTAAATTTCGAATTGATGACTAAAAATTAAATAAATAATAGGTAAAAATTTGCGTTAAAAAAAAAACTTTTATTAAATATTTCACTAAAAATTAAATATATATATATTTTTGCTTCTACCATTGTAGATTTATGTGAGTAAAAAATAAGTGGCGGGGCACCACCATATATTGAGTGGAGAGGTAAAAATTTAGTAAAGACTCGCTAATCAGTTACTTCATATTAAATCACATTATGTTGGAAATTCATTATGATTGACCCTGTTGCCTTTATTTTTGCTCATAAAAACATAATTGTTCAAAAGAGGAAGCTAAACTTATTATTTTTCCTTTTTAGTGCATTTTATAAAAGCCCTTAAACAACAATAACCTAACAGCGGTATGGTAGATTAAACTGGAGAAACCGCTGTAAGGGTTCACCACTGATGAGCCTGGCCCTCCCATTAATTTTTCCAACGCAGTAAGGGCAGTAGAAATTGTATAATTTTAAAAATAATCATACATGTGTATAATAATTTCCAATTTTCATAACAATAACCTAAGGTTGTTGTAAAAATTATATTTAAGAAAGGTTTGTTTGTTGTTTGATAAGCTGAGATTGGCACATAAAAAAAAAAGGTCAAATTATCTAAGTGTAGAATTAGATTAAGAAAAAGGCTTCTTCTTATCGAGCAACTGAAAGTTGCTGATGGCTTGCGCCATCTATCGGAATAAATATCAACTATTCTCGTTGATTTTTAATTATTCCAGAATTGGCCAAATACCCATTCTTGATTAATCAAGAAAAACTAACCACGGACGCGTTTCGGGCTGTTGGCCCTCATCAGCGTGGTGCAAGCTGTACCTCAACAACCAAAATAAATTTGGTCATTAAGGCATCCTGAAAAATCATGAAACGGGTAGTTAAGGACAGAATTGCGTGAGAACGCTACACAATGTGAAAAAATAGTACAAATGTAATATTGTACTGGGATAAGGTGCATAAATTAAGAAAAAGGCTTCTTCTTATCGAGCAACTGAAAGTTGCTGATGGCTTGCGCCATCTATCGGAATAAATATCAACTATTCTCGTTGATTTTTAATTATTCTAGAATTGTAGAATTAGAGTTGGTTGAATTAGTTGGGGGGGTTGAATTTATTAAATTTATCTAGATACATTTATTTGTGAAACATATTTCATTTATATTTGATGAGGATTTAAGGAAAAGATGTTCAAATATTATGTCAGCTGTAGACAGCAATCTCTTCACTGATGTATAAAATATGCACATGGTCAGGAAAGGGTTAAATTACTAAAAATGGGATTATTTATAGAATGTATAATAAATTTTAAGATTTACAAAAAAAAATTGTCAGGTCAAAAACTTAAATAGAATTTAAATTTTGTATGGTTAAATAGCAAAAAGTGCCATAATCTTTAATATGAATGGGAAATTTGGGCAAAGAAATAAACAATCCCATTGGGTGGGAAGTAGCATTACCCTGCTGGGCTAATCAGTGAACTAGGAGAGAGGAACACTTACCAATTTTATTTCTTAAATCTAGACAAAATGATATGTGAGGGAATTGGAGTATTTTTTTCCATTTTTTACTCTTGCCCTTGTTGCTGTCAGCCCCACCTGGACACACAGAGTGAGGAATTAGAAATAATAGGAGATATTACTTCCAGTTATTTTTATGGGCAAAACTGCAGCCACTTGTTAGCATTACCATGGCAGACCATTCCAGCCACTTGTTGGCAGTACCATGCCAGACCATTCCAGCCACTTGTTGGCACTACCATGGCAGACCATTCCATCCACTTGTTGGCACTACAATGGCTGACCATTCCGGCCACTTGTTGGCACTACAATGGCAGACCATTCCAGCCACTTGTTGGCACTACCATGGCAGACCATTCCAGCCACTTGTTGGCACTACAATGGCAGACCATTCCATCCACTTGTTGGCACTACAATGGCAGACTATTCCATATACTTGGCATTACAGTGGCAGACTATTCCGGCCACTTGTTGGCACTACAATGGCAGACCATTCCAGCCACTTGTTGGCACTACAATGGCAGACCATTCCATCCACTTGTTGGCACTACAATGGCAGACCATTCCAGCCACTTGTTGGCACTACCATGGCAGACCATTCCAGCCACTTGTTGGCACTACAATGGCAGACCATTCCATCCACTTGTTGGCACTACAATGGCAGACCATTCCATATACTTGGCATTACAGTGGCAGACTATTCCGGCCACTTGTTGGCACTACAATGGCAGACCATTCCAGCCACTTGTTGGCACTACAATGGCAGACCATTCCATCCACTTGTTGGCACTACAATGGCAGACCATTCCGGCCACTTGTTGGCACTACCATGGCAGACCATTCCAGCCACTTGTTGGCAGTACCATGGCAGACCATTCCAGCCACTTGTTGGCACTACCATGGCAGACCATTCCGGCCACTTGTTGGCAGTACCATGGCAGACCATTCCGGCCACTTGTTGGCACTACCATGGCAGACCATTCCGGCCACTTGTTGGCACTACCATGGCAGACCATTCCGGCCACTTGTTGGCACTACCATGGCAGACCATTCCGGCCACTTGGTGGCACTACCATGGCAGACCATTCCGGCCACTTGTTGGCACTACCATGGCAGACCATTCTGGCCACTTGTTGGCACTACCATGGCAGACCATTCCAGCCACTTGTTGGCAGTACCATGGCAGACCATTCCAGCCACTTGTTGGCACTACCATGGCAGACCATTCCGGCCACTTGTTGGCACTACCATGGCAGACCATTCCGGCCACTTGTTGGCACTACCATGGCAGACCATTCTGGCCACTTGTTGGCACTACAATGGCAGACCATTCCGGCCACTTGTTGGCACTACCATGGCAGACCATTCCAGCCACTTGTTGGCACTACAATGGCAGACCATTCCAGCCACTTGTTGGCACTACCATGGCAGACCATTCCAGCCACTTGTTGGCACTACAATGGCAGACCATTCCGGCCACTTGTTGGCACTACCATGGCAGACCATCCATCCACTTGTTGGCACTACAATGGCAGACCATTCCGGCCACTTGTTGGCACTACCATGGCAGACCATTCCAGCCGCTTGTTGGCACTACCATGGCAGACCATTCCGGCCACTTGTTGGCACTACCATGGCAGACCATTCCGGCCACTTGTTGGCACTACAATGGCAGACCATTCCGGCCACTTGTTGGCAGTACCATTGGCAGACCATCCATCCACTTGTTGGCACTACCATGGCAGACCATTCCGGCCACTTGTTGGCACTACCATGGCAGACCATTCCGGCCACTTGTTGGCACTACAATGGCAGACCATTCCGGCCACTTGTTGGCAGTACCATTGGCAGACCATCCATCCACTTGTTGGCACTACAATGGCAGACCATTCCATCCACTTGTTGGCACTACCATGGCAGATCATTCCAGCTACTTGTTGGCAGTACCATGGCAGACCATTCCATCCACTTGTTGGCACTACAATGGCAGACCATTCCATCCACTTGTTGGCACTACCATGGCAGACCATCCATCCACTTGTTGGCACTACCATGGCAGACCATTCCATCCACTTGTTGGCACTACCATGGCAGACCATTCCATCCACTTGTTGGCACTACCATGGCAGACCATTCCATCCACTTGTTGGCACTACAATGGCAGACCATTCCATCCACTTGTTGGCACTACCATGGCAGACCATTCCATCCACTTGTTGGCACTACAATGGCAGACCATTCCATCCACTTGTTGGCACTACAATGGCAGACCATTCCATCCACTTGTTGGCACTACCATGGCAGACCATTCCATCCACTTGTTGGCACTACCATGGCAGATCATTCCATCCACTTGTTGGCACTACCATGGCAGACCATTCCAGCCACTTGTTGGCACTACCATGGCAGACCATTCCAGCCACTTGTTGGCACTACCATGGCAGACCATTCCATCCACTTGTTGGCACTACCATGGCAGACCATTCCGGCCACTTGTTGGCAGTACTACAAGTTTGAATGTACCCTGGCCAGCTGGTAAATAGGAATTAATTGAAGCAGCCAGAGGATGGCCAGTCTACATTAGCTTTACAAGAGAGATCTAATATCACAACAATTGTTCTAGTGAACAAGGCTAGTAGAAATTACATGATTTGAGCATTTTACCTAACATCATCTGTAAAAAGACACAATTTGGATCATGAATTATAAAGACATGGTAATAAGGCCAAATCCAAATAAATAGTGTGTGACGTTTCGGTAATATTATTGTTACCATCTTTAGACAAAAGTACTGAATCCTGTATTTGATTCAGTACTTTTGTCTAAAGTTGGTAACAATGCTGTTACCAAAATGTCACACACTAATTATTTATTTGGATATAGTCTTATTACCTTGTGTTCATCATCTGTG